GTCACTCTTCAGAGCATTTGAGATCTTGCTTCCTAGTAATTGTCATGTTGGTGGCACAAATAAACTCCTATAAAAATTCTCTACAGGTTTGGACATTCTTATGTTGACTGGATGTAGTAACAAAGTACCACAAACTGAGTATCTTACACAACAGAAATGTATTGTCTCACAGTTCTGGAAGCCAGAAGTCCAGAATGAAGATATCGGCAGTGCTGCCCTGCGTGGTTTTGCTCAGTGGTTACAGCAAAAGCCCTCGGACCAAGAGTCATGAGTTAGATTTCTGATCAAGGGCACATACCTCGGTTGTGAGTTTGATCCCCCGCCCCAGTCAGGGTCATGTAACCAATTGACATGTCTCTCGGATGTTTCTCTCTCTCCCCCTCCCTCCTACTTTATCTTTAAAAAAATTAATGGAAAAAATATCCTCAGGTGAGAATTAAAAAAAAAAAAGATAACGGCAGTGCTGATTCCTTCTGAGGGCTATGAAGGAAGGAGAGCCTTCCAGGCCTCTTTCCTTGGCTTGTAGATGGCCTTCTCCACATCTCTTCACATCATCTTCCCTCTGTGTGTGCTTCTGCATCCAAATGTCCTCCTCCTTATAAGAACAGCAGCCATCTTGAATTAGGGCCCACCCTAGTGACCTCATTTAAACTTGATTATCTCCAAACATGATCACATCCTGAGGTACTAGGGGTTAAGACTTCAACCTATGAATTTTGAGGGGATACAATTCAACCCTTAACACTGAGTCGTCACTTTTTCTCAAGTGCTCAGTGTTGGAGTTTGGTAAATTTTCTTTGTCTTTTCATGGACACACCCTCCCTCCTCTTTCTTGCAACTCTCTCCTGCTTTGCTCCACTCTCCATAGTCCCTCCTTGGTGTCTGGTTTGGATCCTTCATCCTTATCTATCTCCTTAAATCTCAAAGTTTTATAGGTTCCACCCTTGACTTCTTCTCACCATCTCTCCCTAGTGATCTCACCCACAACAGGAATGTCAACTATCAGCTGTACTTATGCTAAAGACTCTTAATGTTCATTCCAGCCCATACCTCTTTCTTGAGGTTTTCACCTGTATATCCACTTATCTATTTGCACATCACCATTCAGATGCTCCATAGGGTCTCAAATTCAGCCTGTGAACAAATGAACCTAACTTCTGCCCTCTCTTTACCCCAGCCAAACTCAATCCATTTCCTATATAGCTTCCATTTTGTGAAGGATGCCACTGTGTACTTAGACCTCACCTTCCAAGCTCCACGTATGTCAAAACCCAAATCCTGTCAACTCTAGTGCTTAAAAATTCCTAAATGCATCCTTGCCTCTCTGGTCCTTAACACCACTCCTTGAATTATTACAATAGTTTTATAAATGATCTCCTTGTCACCCCTAATCAGTTCTGCACTCTGTTGCCAGAAGAATTTTTTAAAGCATCATAATGTTTTTTTAAAGCATCATAATGTATTTTTTAAAGCAAAATAATGTTATCATTATTTTGTTGTTGTTGTTTATGACTCTTCAAACTTAGGCTGTAACTTTAAGATAAACACAACTGGATGCCTGGGCTCTAGAAAATCCTTGTCCTGGTCCATCCCATTTTCTACCTTATCCTCTTCTATTACTATCTGTAAGGCATCTTCTTGAAGCTATAGCTGCAATTCCCCCATGCATCCTACTTGTCTATTTAATTATCCAGACCTGGGTGTTTAAACCAATGTGACCATTCACTTTATGAAGCCCACAGCTGGTGGTCTATAAAAGTATCTGAGTCATCGCGTTTATCTTGCACTAGCTCTTTGCTCCAGGCTGTGTCTCTGGGCCTAACCTGGCTCTTAGCTTCCTTAGTCTCACCCTCCTCTCCAGCATTTGCTTTCCCATAGTGACCAGAGTCATTCCTTGAAGTGGCTGGCCTTGTCCTTGGGCTCTGCCTGTTTCAGGTCACCTCCCCTGGGAGCCCAGCTTGGGGTTGTTCTGAAAGGCTCCGAGGGTATTAAACACCTGAAAACCTTCCTGAACTCTAGTCCTCGACTGCCATCAAGTAGCTGTGTAATCTCGGACAAATCACTTTTCCTCTATTTCTAAATCTTAACAGTAATAGTAAAAACAACTAATATTAATTACTGAGTAGTTATCAGAACAAGGTTGTAAGCACTTGACATGGATTATCTCATTAAAATCACAACCAATATATGACAAATCACAATTATCCCCATTATACAAATAAGAAACTGAGGTTTATAATTGTTAAGCAACTTCTCCAAGATCATACAACTAGAAAGCGGGAAAGGCTGGGATTCAAACTCCAACACTCAGGTTCCAAAGTGTAGCCACTTTACCACTACACTGTTCTTCCTCCCAACATGCAGCTCACTCTAGAGCCATGCCATCATATCCGTAAATAAGGAAATGAGACCTCTGGTCTCTTCCACATAGAACATTCTGTGAAAACAGGCCTGCTAGGATCTAGTGAATTATGGGTAAAGTAAGTATATTTAAAGAGAAGAGCCAAAAAGTTAATCACCAAGGGCCAAAGCCGCAGCAATAAAATTTTACCAATTGTAAAGTAGTCTTTTATGGATGTCCCCTAATTAACCAGTTACCTATGTTTATTTAGAAGCTTAAATTGTTTCCAAGATTTTACCTATTAGAAACAATGGCAAGAAAAACATCAATGTCACTAAAACTTTACAAACATATATGATTATGCCCTTACAATAAATTCCTAAAAGTTAAACTTCTTGGTTAAAGGAAATATACATTTCAAAGGTTTTTGATATGTATCACCAGATTATTGTCCAGAAAGATATTACCAACCTCTGGTAATAAGAGTATAAATGCTCCTCTCTCCTTAGAAACATGTAGAATTTTTGCTTATTCACTCACTTAAAAAAAAAGTTCTTATAGATTTCTTAGAAAGGAAGGGAAGACTAAAACATTGATGTGAGAGAGAAACATCCGTTGGCTGCCCCCTGCACACCCCTCACTGGGGACTGAGCCCTCAACCCAGGCATGTGCCCTGACGGGGAATTGAACTGGGACCTCTCAGTTCATGGAATGACGCTCAATCCACTGAGTCACACTAGCTGGGTGCTTGCTCACTTTTTAAACAAAATATTTGCCACTTTGATAAAAGAAAAATAATATTTCATTGTTTTAATTTTCATTTATTTTATTTCAGATAAGACTAAATATTATTTATTGGTCATTTATGTTCTAAAATTTCCTGCTCATCATTAATTTTTCAGGTACTTTGAAACAGAGAGAATCTAGACAGTGGCCTTCGGTTCTATAGACATCTGCAGGCAGTATTAATATAATTAATTGGTACCACTTCTAGGGCTCCACAAAAATTATAAATTCTAAAAAAATTTTTCATACATGTGTAACATTTCAAAATTCCACTGGAGGGAAAAGGAGTCTTTACTTGGAAATTAAATTCTAGTTTTCTGAGACAAAAACAGCAAAACTGTTTCCCAAACCCGTAAGCACTGGGTAGGTAAGGGTTACTTAGATTTTCAAAAAACAACAGTAAAAACAACTGACCTCAGCTGTCACTATCCTTTCCAGTAAGTCACTGCCATAGGGGACTGCCGGGGCATGGAGAAACCTTGTGGTGTGCAACCAAGTGGCAAGAAAGATTTTAGCTCTACTCCTTATGAGCAGTGTGAACTCTAGCCTCTTCAGTCAGTTATCTCATTCATAAAACACAGTGATGATATTATCTGCCTGAGAGTCATTGCAAAGATTAAAACTCAATGAAACAACAGTAAAGTACATAGCACATCAAGCATGTTCAATGCCCAGTAGTTAATTGAATTACTCTACTTTTTTCCACTACCTCAGCCTACTCAGACTCTCCCATGGCCTGTTTGTGACTCATTATCTGGGTTCTGTATTTTCTATTTACACCTCTTCTTCCTCTTCCTTTTCCTTTGCCTGTCCCTTTCTACCTTCTCTATCTCATACCCCACTCCCAGGCCAAACTGACCTTGGTATACACAAAATTTGCTTTCTATTATTTGTCATGCTTATGCAGGCATTTTAAAATGTCATGATTCTTGCCCTGGCCGGTTTTGCTCAGTGGTTAAAGCGTCGGCCTGTGGTCCAGAGAGACCGGGGCTCGGTTCCTGCTAAGGGCACGTACCTCAGTTGCAGTTTGTCCCCAGCCCTGGTTAGTCGTGCGGGTGGCAGCCACTCGATGTGTCCCTTTTACGTCAGTGTTTCTCTTTCTCTCTCCCTCTCTCTCCCTCCCACTCTATCTGAACAAAAAATGGAAAAAATGTCCTCGGGTGAGGATAAAAAAAAAAAGTCCAGCTGGTGTGGCTCAGTGGTTGAGCATCTACCCATGCATCAAGAGGTTGCGGGTTGGATTCCTGGCCAGGACACATGCCCAGATTGTGGGCCTGACCCCCAGTGGGGGGCATGTGGGAGGCGGCCAATCAATGTTCTCTCTCATCGATGTTTCTATCTCTCTCTCCCTTTCACTTCTTCTCTCTCTAAATCAATAAAGGAAAAAAAATTTATAAAAAATAAAATAAAAGAATAAGAAAATAAAAAATAAAATGTCATGATTCTCAAAATCAACAACTGCAACACTGAAATATTTGAACAACAAATTTACACAATTAACATTAACCACTTAAAAAAATCAACAAGCAGTATAATTTGGGGCAGCTCAATAATTCCCTCCTCAGGTGGCAGTCAAGTATCTTTGATAGATATTTTTTAAAAAGCTTCCCAGACTTAGAGCTATGGAATCAACCTACAGCGGATGCTCAAGAAGGAAAGAATGGCTTTGGGACTTTAGGTAATGTTTCATAGCAGAGACCGTTCTTTCTCCCTTGTGTTTCTGCTTTTGGCTTCTGCATCAATGTATTCTTAATACATATTAGCATTCTTGGGCAGGAAAGACAGAAAACAGCCCCGTCCTTAACCATAGCCCATCGCTGAGGTCACTTAATTCAAAATTGCCTTTCAAAGAATAATAAGAACGATCACTCACCATCCGAGATCCGTCTTGGCTGTGTCCACCGCTGACTAACGGTGGGATGACCCCGCTTGTCTGTCTGTCTGCGCTAGTCCGAGTGACAGTGGAAGGAGGAACAATTCCTTCCACCCCTGTGAAAGCCTTCCTTCTCAATGACTGTATACCCTGTAACTTTCTTTAATAAGGGCTGTTCCTCTTTTTTGTTTTGTCAGATTTTGCTGACACTTGTGGAAGAAATTTAACCCTTTCCTTTCCTTCGAATTCACTGACCTAGGTCTAAATATATGTTTAAAAAGTAATTAGTGGCTTGAGTTCCAGACACAACATTAAAATGAAGCAGACTAAAAAGCCCCCCTTTTGAAATTCCCTCAAACAATCTAGAAAATAAGGTAATTAAAGAAAGGGGGTAGAGAATCTCTGCCCCTATAAAATGGAATAAAAGAACATTCTATAGATTTTGGTAAAACAATGAAAACTATAATTTATTATGCACATGGATTGGGAGTGAGTAGCTTTCCCTGCTGATTTCCACCAAGATGATGAAGCATTTTAATGAACTTCAAGGGGGAAAGGACTGTCCTCCTGGGAGAGCTGCACCACCAAGGATGGTGAACAAAAGCTGCTGCTTGTATTTCAGTCTTCCTATAGCCAAAGATTAAAATGGCCAAAGAGAAGATTCCTCTAGTAGAGGCCTTAAAAAAAAAAAAAAAAAAAAAAAAAGCAGTATCCTAAAATTAAGAGATGTCTTTGTGAAAGAAACATAAATTCATTAAGCAGAAATTATTACCAGAATAAAAGAAATCTTCGCATATGAACTAAAAAGGAAACTGTTAGGGAACGCAAAGGTTCAGATTGTCAAAAAATTTATGAAAATGAGTATTTATTCATATAAATACTGTGAACATTTTAAATTCCAAAGACAAGAAAAGCAAAAAACAAAATTTAAAAATAGGATGACTACAGAGAAAGATTAACTAGCTTGTCCTCTTAATCCTAAATATCAGAAAACCACAAAGCAATCCTCACCCAAGAGAGAGAGAAAAGGAGAGAGAAAGAAACATCAATGGGTTGCTTCTGGTACACACCCCAACTGGGGATCAAACTCTTAACCTAGGTATGTACCCTGACCTGGAATCAAACCCACAACCTTTTTGGTGTACAGGATGATGCTCCAAACAACTAAGCCACCTGGCCAGGACTCTATAATGTTTTGAGGTAGAATTCTTTACCCAGATAAGATTCTAGTTATATATAAAGTCAATAGAAATATATTACTAAGGAGACATGAATTTGAGGGCACACAATTCAGTCTACAACAAATACTTTTAGCATCTATTAAGGCTCTGCTGTTTATTACTTTTTTTCAAAATCTTCAAAAGTTGCCCTGGCCGGTTTGGCTCAGCGGTTAGAGCGTAGGCCTGCGGTCCAGAGAGACCCGGGTTCGGTTCCGCTAAGGGCACGTACCTTGGTTGCAGTTTGTCCCCGGCCCTGGTCGGTCGTGTGGGTGGCAGCCACTCGATGTGTTCCTTTCACGTCGATGTTTCTCTCTCTCTCTCTGTTCCTCTCTCTCCCTCCCACTCTATCTGAACAAAAAATGGAAAAATGTCCTCAGGTGAGGATAAAAAACAAACAAAATCTTCAAAAGTTATAGTTATTATTCTTGCCAGTGACACTCTAGAGTAATTTTGTTATATTTGAAAATAAATTATTCTTGCCCTAAACCATGTGGCTCAGTTGGTTGGAGCATCGTGCCATACACCAAAATGTTGTGGGTTTGATTCCCATTCAGGGTACATATCCAGGTTTCAGGTTCAATCCCTCAGGGTCAGGGTGTGTACCAGAGGCAACCGATTGATGTTTCTCTTTCACATGGATGTTTCTCTCTCTCTCTCTCTCTCTCTCTCTCTCTCTCTCTCTCTCTCTCCATCTCCCCTCCTTTCTTTCAAATCAATAAAAACATATTTAAATTTTTTAAAAAAATTATTCTTTAACTATTTTAAGAACCTATCAGTAAATTTTATAATTGTGCTATTTTCATTATCTCTTTTACTTTTTTGAGGGCGTTAATCTTCAACTGAGGTTATTTTTCCATTGATTTTTAGAGTGGAAGGGAGGGAGGGGGAGAGAGAGAGAAACATTGATGTGAGAGAGGTACATCTACTGATTGCCTCCCAAACAATCCTCACCGGGTTTGGGGATCAAACCTGCAACCAAGGTAGGTACATGCTTTTGGCTGGGGATCAAACCTATCACCCTTCAGTCTACAGGCTGATGCTCTAACTGCTGAACCAAATTGGCCAGGGCCATCATCATCTATTTTACTTTTATACATGCTATATATAAGAAAATACATTGTTATTATTTTGCTTTAAACAGTTATCTCTTGGCACATTTAAATCTATAGAAAAAAATAGATTTTATTTTCTTTTATTTATTCCATTTCATTTACTTCATTATTCCATTTAAATTGTTATGTATATCCATTTTTCTGACCTATTTCACATTCTTTGTTCCTAAAGTTTTTTGTTTTTACATTTCTTGCAAAGTATGTATACTGTCAGTGAATTTCATATGTATTTGTCTGAAAAAGTATTTCTTCATCATTTATGAAAAATATTTTTTTTGAGCAAAGAATTAGGGTTGACAGTTTTCTTTCGTTCAGCATTTTAAATATGTCACTACAATATCTTCTAATTTGCCTGGTTCCTGGGGTGGTGGGAAGTCTGCTGTAATTTGTATTGTTTATCTTTCTGTAGGTAAATTTTTTTTCTGTATGTAGTTTAAATTTTTTTCACTTTGTTTTTTGTTTTTAGCAGTTTCGATATTGGTATGACCTGAATCATGTTCCCCCAAAGTTCATATGTTGAATTCCTAATTCCAAGTACCTCAAAATGTGACTAACTTGAACATAACAGCCTTTAAAGAGGTTATTAAATTAAAATGAGGCTGTTAAGGTGGCCCCTACTCCAATATGACTGGTATCCTTATAAGAAGAGAAAGAGACCCCATGGATGACATCTATGGACAGAAGAATGACCATGTGAATAAACAGGAAGAGGGCAGCCATCTGCAAACCAGGAGAAGATGCCTCCAAGAAAACCAACACTGCTAGGACCTTGATCTTTACCTTGCAGCCTTCAGAATTGTGAAATATATAAGCCACCCAGTCTATGGAATTTTGTCATGATAGCCCTAGCAAACTAGTTTAAATATGAGATGCCTAGGACTGGGGTTATTGTTTTGGTTTTGATATTTATCCTTCATGGTGTATTCTGAGCTTCTTAGATCTGTGGTTTGAGGTATATCATTAATTTTAGAAAATTCTTGGCCATTATCTCTTAAATATTTTTTGTGTCTCACATGCTTTCTCTCTGCTCCAGTTGGAATTCCAATTACATATAGACTACTTGATATTTTTCTTTAGCTTTTGATTGCTCTGTTCTATTTTTCCACATTTTACTTTTTCTCTTTCTTACCAGTTTATGCAATTTCTATTGACGTATTTTCAAGTTCCATGATTCTTTCTTTTGCTGCATCAAGTCTACTGATTGGCCTCTTTAAGGCATTTTTTTCAGCTCTGTTAGTGAATTTTTTTTTTTTAGCATTTTTATTTTATTCTTTCTTATAGTTGACCTTTCTCTGCTGAAATTATCTGTCTGATCCTGCATGTTGCCTACCTTTTCCATTAGATCCTTTAACATCTTAATTATAATTATTTTAAATTCCTTATAAGCTAATTTCAACAGCTGTGTTATATTTTAGTCTGGTTCTGATGATTGCTTTGTCCTTTTAGATTTTTATTTTTATTTTTATTTTTTTTTGCCATTTTGTATGTGAACCCCCTCCCCATCATATGTTGGGGCTCTATATGGAGATGGAGCTTTTGGAGGGTAATTAGGCTTAGATAAGGTTATGAGGGTAAGCCCTTCATAATAGGATTAGTGCTCATCTGAGAAAAGACACCCAGAAAACTGTATTTCTCTCTCTCTCTCTGCTATAAAAAGACATTAGAAGACAGTCATCTGAAAGTCAGGTAGAGGGCTCTCATCAGAACCCAACCATTGTGGCTCCCTGATCTTGGACTTCCCAGCCTTCAGAACTGTGAGGAAAAATTTATGCTATTTAAGACACCCAGTCTATGGCATTTTGTTATGGAAGCCTGAGCAGACTAAGAATTTCACAATTTTGGGGTCAAATCAGATGTGTTATATAAGATAATAGATACTGAGGTAAATATGTTTTATCCTTAAAGATAAGCATGCCTTTCCTTCTGTTAGACCCTTAGTGATGTTGAGTATTTGTGCTAATTTTGTCTGGAGTTGAGTTGGGTTTGACGCTTATTGTTCCTAGAGTTAACCTGAGTACACCACAGACTTCAACCTTGTCCAGTGATACCTTGTGTAGACTATTTGCTAGAGTGTTTTTCTTAATATCTGCTCTACACTTGCCTTCATGTCTCTCTGCTTTGTTTCTAGTCTTCCCTTTGAACTTCTCCCTAGGAAGAATCTGTCTTTTGAAGTGTTCTTAGCTCTATTCCATTCTTATTTTTACTTGACACATTAGTGGTTTGAAAGTAAGAGTGAGAAAATCATTTCTCTGATGTTCTAATAGTTTCTGTTTTAGTCAGACATTGTCAACCTTCTTGTGGGTCTTCATTAGTGTTCCTGCCCCTCCTCCAGATCTAGTGCTGAGCCACAACCTATTCCCAGGGGTAAATTTTTTTTTTCTTGTTTGCTTCCCCCATTGTCAACAGGCTCACACTAGTGCCCTAAGGGCACAGTTCTTGTTTTCATTATCCCTGCAGATTATGTTTTTTATTCCATAAGGGAGATAGAATAGATGGGTTTAGATAGAGTTTTAGCAGCAATTTCTAGTCCCCCACATCTGTCCATCTCTGTAAGGAAAATTTCCACCAATTTTTCCTTGTGAACTCCTGGTAAGGTTCTCTGCAAAAAGGTACAAAGCCCCAGGGGCTTCACTGTATAACTAGCCCACATTCAGCCTTTAGCAATTTATTACAATATTACAGCTGGATTATATGGCATCTGCCTCAGGTAATCAAATCCTCTGATTCTGTTTTTCCTTATAGAATCTTGTCTCTCCCTAAATTTTGGGTTACATTAGTTTGCAATTTGT